AGCACTATTGTTAACATTTTATTTATAAAATGAGTATCCTATTAAAATTAATTGCATCTCATTTACAGTGCATTATTTTCAAACTTGTTTGCATTTATTAATATTCCAGCCATAAAATATACCAATTAATTATGAAAATAATAAACAGTGCTGTAGTCTCTGTATTTGCAGAAGTCTAGCGTTACAGCTTTAATGTATGGCCACCGTTTTATTGGGTATTTTGCACATAAAGGGAATATTAAGATTCAATTTATGCATAACTGTAAAGATAACTTTCAACTGGATTCTAATGACGGTCAACGGGGCTGGAGCAGGAAATAAAATTGGTATTTAATGGTCCAGTTCGGTTGAGTCATTAGGGCTTGTGAAACAAGCCCATAAATGTCACAGCGAGTGCCGCGAGTTATCAAGTCGAGTAACAAACAAATTTCCAAGCACCGGAGCAGAGTAGGAGACAAACTCCAGCTGAGTTCACACGGCTCGAGCATGCTGCAATGAATTCACATTCAATTAACTTCTCGCCTCATTTGAATAGCAGGGCACACGTTCGGAAATGCTAATTGGATATTAAATACAAATATATTCGATTCACAGGCAGTCATTGCCATTTCCAGATTTCTGCTGATTAATTGTTTTGTTTTTGTTTTGATTACACTCGAATATGCCACCGGAGCCGCCTCACTTTCCTCGCACTGTCCGGCTCAAGCCAGATCCTCCTAGCGCGAGTCTTAGGCGGCGAACTTGTCTGCTCCTAACGAATGACTTAGGCAGCGAACTTGCCCCAGCGGCAGTGGCAGTGGCAGCCTTGCAGTTGCCTTCATTAGTTGACTGGGGCTTATATGCTAATGGCGCATGTGGGGTCCACTTCCACCCAGCGTGTCCTGCTGTCAGACCGGCCACTAAACTGGCATTTATGCGCAGCACCTGTTGGGTGCCACCGCCTGTTAGACATTAATCCGTGGCATTTAGTTACGCTTTAATAAAATTTCTTGCTCCCGGCCTCTACGTTCTTCTCTCGGTCTGCCGGGGAAAGCTGGAAAGTATTCTTGGTCGCCCGTTCCTTTTTTTTTTTGTATATATATTTATTCTGTATTTATTTTTTTATTTTGCGGCAACTGAAGCTGCAGACAAAGCGACGCGCTGCGTCCACCGCAACCACAGCGGCTGGCTGGGCTTTCCATGGCTGTGGCGCCCCATTTTAACACCCGAGTGTGTGTGTGGTTATTAAAATACCAAGACTTTTGCCTTATTCATGGTATTAACTGCCTCATGGCAGGGTAGCCATAGCCAAGGAGAAGTTTAAAGAAGTAGGTGAAGGATGCTGATTACAGTGTTTAATGGTAATAAAAGCTAAAGAAAACTATGACTGGAAATGGTAAGGAGCAAGATCCTTATTGTGCTAAAAAAAAGTTACGTTTTATCTTTCCATTTCCTTTTTTTACTTTGTTAGTTAACCAATGAACTTATAAGCTTACAGAAATTATTCCTGCAATTTCATTTAAAAAAAGATACTACAGATGGACATGCTATGGCATAAAAATAGATGTAATTGGTAAAGCCATATTTAATTGCTTAAAACTCTGGGCTAATAATGTCAAGATAATTGTTAGTGTATGTTAAGTTCTCATTACGCTCAGGCATCTCCGCTTCTTCCGATCTAATGGAATTTCAGTAATGAGGAAAAAGCTGTTCCCCAACGTGAGTATTATGTTCTTCGACGGCATGCCATCGACATGATCGGCGGCATGCAAATGGGCACCGGCGGATGCCTGTGGCTTGTGGAATATCTAACGAGTGTTGAACTAATTAAGGTCGAGCACACCAGACCTATATAAGGCTTCGCGGCAAAGAGAGCCATACATCATGCACTCTTGCCCGGATCGGAGCCATTAAGAAATTACACGAATTTCGAACTTCAGCCAGGCAAAAGTGCAACTGTTATATGGCCAACAGATCGGGCTCGAGATCGAGATCGAGATCGCTGAAAGGGCAAACACTCTTGAGTTGTACGCCTGAACACTCGACTTGGAAGTGGAAGTAGCAGGGGAGGGGGAACGCAGATCTGGGTTCGGGGAGGATGACGGCTGAGACAATGCCGGATGATGATCTGCCAAGATCCAGATGCAGATCCAGATCTACCCAAGGAGCCAGTGAGCAATTCATTCATATTTGTATTTACTTAACTTGCCGATGAGGAGGATGATGATGGTTCCCGAGGAGGAGATGCGATGATGATGACTTGCACCTTAACGAGACCTGAATCTGTGGCTGTTTTCTGCCTTTCTGCCTTCATATTTCCCCCGATATAACGATATGAAAGGCGCAGTCTTGCTGCGAGTGAGTATTTTATGGGACGCCCGTTGGCCGTGTAAATGGAGTTTCGACAGCCTAATTGGAGATCAACGCAGTATAATTGTCTGGCCAGGCCGAGCTGCCGCTGCTCCGGCTTCTGATGATGAAGTCGTGGCCCGAGAACAGGTGAATGAATTTGTGACAGCCGCACAAAGGCAAATGATGTATTGATAGCATCTGTTTCGGGAGGAGGAGCCGGAGCAGAAGCAGGAGCAGGAGCCGGAGAGAAACGGCAGCCAAAGCGGCAGGACGTCTGCAGCAATTCGATTCAGCGGCTGTGAGTCAAAAAGTCTGGACTTTTATGCCGATGCCGAGCCAGAGGCCTTTGTTGCCTTTTTGGCTGCCAGTTGTTATTATTCCGGCTCTTCTGGCTTTGCTGCCTCCTCTTTTGTGATAGGACAAATGCAAATTGAAGGCTGTAATTTCTGTTACAATTTGTTTTCTCTTTTATGATCTGCTACAGATTTATCAGAGGGGCCTTTTTAGGTCTTTTTAACTCTTCTTTCTTGCCTGTTGACTGTGTCTCTTGGGGGTATAACATTTTTATACCCTTGCAGGGTATTATAATTTCAGTCAGAAGTTTGCAACGCAGTGAAGGAGACCTTTCCGACCCTATAAAATATATATATTCTTGATCAGCATCAACAGGGGAATCTTTCTAGATATGTCAGGAAGAAATCGATTTTTTGGCCATTTTTGCAAAAATTTGATAAGGGGGTACATCATTAAAATGTTTGATTTTGATAAGAAATTGAATTTTCAAAATTTTGTAAATGAAGTATGCAGATTTATTAACTGTAGAAAATCTTGCACAGAACAGTTTTCCGATTTAAAATTAATGCTCTTTTGACCGAGTTATGATATTTTTAATTTAAAAAAAAATCAAGAAGTTTTTTAATATAAAAAATCAGATTTTATAATACAAAATAATATTTTTCTAAGTCAAGGAATCATTTCCGACCCCATAAACCATATATATTCTTGATCAACATCAACAGGGGAATCTTTCTAGATATGTCAGGAAGAAATCGATTTTTTGGCCATTTTTGCGAAATGTTATAAGGGGTTACATCATTAAAATTAGCAAAAGTGGCCAAAAATTTTGATTTCTTAAAATTTTAAATTTGGTATGCAATTTTTTTAGGCTTATAAAAAGTAACACAAAACCGCTTTCCGAATCGAAATTAATGCATTTTTGGCTTAGTTATGATATATTTTAATTATTACCTGCAAGGGTATACAAACTTTGGCTGGCCAAAGTTAGCTTTCTTTCTTGTTTTTTCTTAAGGTTGAAATACAACAAAATAACCTGCTACTCAAGATATAATTTAAATTAGGATAAAGGTAAAATAATCATTTATATAGATCTACTTATACAATAAAATATATGCAGAGCTTAGAAAAGGAAGGTGTTACTTAAGACAGATAAGACAATGTGATACCAATGATGACTAAAATTGTTTATCTAACTTCCATCATTTCTGAATTGTTTTCTATATATTTTAAATATATACCAGATAAGGCAGCTTATATATTTTTATTTTAAAAACAGAGATACCCTTGAAATGGTTTACATGCAATAATTAAAATTATAAATATTTATTTATATATTTTTAATATAATAACTTAAAACCTAACACGTAGAGAAACATACAATATATCTATTTATAATTATTATTATTTGTTTAACTAACGTATTTATTAAATTTTAAAAAGTTTTAAAAAGTAATATGTTTTATAAAAATTAAAAAAAAATGAGTGAAAAAAATGATCCTTCGAGCCGGATTTGAACCAGCGACCTATGGATGTCTACTTAAATATCCAGCTACAGTCCACCGCTCTACCAACTGAGCTATCGAAGGTCTATATATGGCTCGCCGCGAAACGAGTTCATAAACAAACCGAATGAAAGACAACTTATCAGCAAAAGCCAAATTTAAGTGGCTGCAGTGCGTCGCGTCGCGGTGAAGGGGAGCTCGCTGAGGCGGTGGAATGAGCTTGGCTTTATGCAGAGCCAGCAGCAATGAATATCGAATGTGAGTGGCGATTGTTTTGGATTTCTCGTTTCGGGGAGATGAAACGACGGCGCGCCGGGTGTCAACAAAGACTGTGCGTATCGGGGGCGACAATTAACGTGGCCACCTAGTAAACGCCGGCCATGAGTCATCTCCCCGGGATGCTATATTTGTGATACGCAACAAGCATCTACGCAGCGTCGCCTGTGGCCCGCCCGGGACCAAGTGAAGTGAATCATGCCGCAGGCGCGCAGAAGACACGATCCGTCTTATCAGTCCAAGGGTTCAGTCCAGAGAACTCTCCTGGAAGCCTAGAAGCCTCCAGTGCCGGGCCATGTCACGAGGGCCACAGCAGCCGCTGTTGGGCTCTCGGACAAAGTCTGTTCCCGATAAGCCAAAGGGGCAATTTTTGACGGCCCGAAAAGGCAAAGGCTGAGGGGAATACTTAACAAACCAATTAGGATGCCAAAAATGCGGCAAGTCATAAAAATCGAATAACGCAAACGGTCAGCGGACCTATATCAGTTGATCTATATGTGTATATAACTTAGAGATGGGAGCGTGACAAAAATCAAAGGAAAGATACTCAAAACAATTTAACAAATATGAAAAATATTCAAGTAAGGCTGTCATTATTAATCCAAATAGAAATTCCAATTAAAGTATATTAAAATAGAACCTAATTTTAAAAAGGGATCTTCTACAGATACTCTTGAAAATATATACCACATTTTTCATCCAGAAGGTAAGCCTCTAACTAATAGCTTTTTATATAATTTAATTTTTAATTTATATAATTCCCAATATATCGAAGGACGACTCGCCAGTGGGAACTATCATCCCTAATGCCGTTCACTTACCGTGGTCAGAAAAGGTTAGCCAAGAAGTGCATGGGAGGAAGCGGAGCGAAAAAACTGACAGCTTACGGATAATTACCGACAAAACACACACACACTGGCACACACAGATGCAGCAGCAGCTAGCCGCCGGAGGAGATGAGGGACAGGTGAGAGGGCAGGTGAAGAGGGGAGAAGAGCTAAGCGCCATGAGCGGCGATTTGTGTGTGATCCATTGAGCAAGGTCTAAGAGTTAGGACCGAGTGTGTGTGCGGATCGATTGCCCAGAACGTCTTGTTAGATAAGGAAAAATGATTCCCGCGGCGAGGGTTCCGTGGGCTATTGGTAATTTGCCCAGGTATGTTACAACAAATGTTCATAATTTTTAAGAATGACTCGGAATTGGAATTTCGGAATAGGCTCTCGGCTTAGTTTCTCCCTTTTAGAATTTCCAGCCAGTTTTGCTTATCAGCGGTCTTCGATCAGTTCGCTCGTTTGGTCGGTGAAGCCCCTTGATCTGGGTATCAATTTCCCGCTATGATTGAATGAATTTTCCCAACAGCCGCCCCCTGCCTCGATATGTGGGCGTTGTCCTATCTCCTGGATAGATCTAAAAAATTGCCAAGTTCCTAGGAAACCAATCAGAGAGTACTCCTTGCCAAAAAAGGATCCCGGGGAGGACTTTATCTCGTCTGGCTTTGTGTGTGGCAAGTCAATGGCTCTTAGTTTTCTCCCTGCCTCCTGATGAGTCATTTAATTGAGCCGAAAAAAACGCACTGTGTCCGGTCTTGGGTATGGAATGGGTAAATTAATTTACTCTCCCGATAAACCCAGCTGAAATCCCCTCATGACTCATCCAACCTGGTCTTGTTGCGAGCTCACATGAAAGGCTTTGCATCTTGAGATTGATTTTCATTTCATTCTGTTCTGTAATAGCTTCCTATCGGCGGGTCTATAAATAGGCAAAGGTCGAATCTAGGTTCCCAACTGCAGCAGACTCTAGGGCAATCCCCAATCTTATCAACTGAGCAATCAATAGTGCGGTTTAGCTTGGGATTGATGTATGCTTTTATTTACAAACATTCAGTGAAATATTTGTTAGTATTCATTTAAAAAATATAAAGTAACTATGACTCGATTAAAATTAATAAAAATGAACAAAGCCTTTTTTTCTTTCTATTATTATTTAAACTAGAAGTTTTTTAATAAAGTTATTATTTTTAATTAAGATAGGTTCATTTAATAATGTCTAGCTTTGCAATTGATCATTTAAATTCCTGAAAACATTTCAGGCTGTGGCGTAATTCCATTTACTTGACATTCATTTAAAGAATCAATGGAATGCGACTGAATTTTTGTTGCTGGACATACTACAGTATGTTATGTATAATTTAAATTTATTACCCAGTCTTATCAGCATCAAAGTTCATTCAGCTGTTTGAATTAGTTTTCCAGATTCCCGTCATCCCATTTGCCAGCAATTTGTAAAGCTCAGCTGGACAGTTCCTAGGAAAGTTGATATGCAGGCTGATCGTTATCGAACGCTTAGATCTGACTTATTTAGTGTCACTTGCATCAAGTCCCACAACAAATTACCCCTTGTGACGCTGCTTAATAGCTGGTTTTCTGATTTATTTACATTCAATAAATGCTTCGTATTTCTTATGCTTTAATCTAAATACTTAGTATAAAGCACTTTTGCACACGCTTCTTATCGGCGACCAACGCGCAACACGTAGTGGGGTGCCATACCTGTGGCAGTGTTTTTTGTTGCGTTTAATGCTGCGATAAGCGCTTTGCTTTGTTTCGCCCGATTTAGTTATTTTGCCAAGCACTTTTTGAGTCAAAATTGATAAGCGAGCGAAAATTGGCCTCAACACCTGAGCAGACAACGCCTTCGATAGCTCAGTTGGTAGAGCGGTGGACTGTAGAAGTGTTCAAATAGCATATTTCCACTGAAGTGAGGGATCTAGCAGCAGGCATCCATAGGTCGCTGGTTCAAATCCGGCTCGAAGGAATTTTTTATATTTTCTTAGGGCACTCAAAAAATCAAATTGAGCTATTTTAAAGTACACTTAATATTTTTAATTTAATGTATTAATTAAACCTACATTAAAACCAACACCTGCACTGATAACGCCTTCGATAGCTCAGTTGGTAGAGCGGTGGACTGTAGAAGTTTTCGAATTGCATATTTCCACTGAAGTGGGGTATCTGGCAGCAGGCATCCATAGGTCGCTGGTTCAAATCCGGCTCGAAGGATTTTTTTATAAATTTTTTATTTCTCATTTTTTGCTGACATACAAGAACAAGACCTCATCAGTCCTAATTCTGCTGACTGATCCAAGGTCAAGTGTTTGGCAACTTACCTTTACCCTTCATTCAAAGAAATAAACTAAAAGTTTATATTTTTTTAATAAATTGTTTTTCTTTTATATTTTCCATCTTTCTTTTTCCTCATCGCTCTCGCATCATCTTCATCATCTTCATCAAAAATATGCTTTGTTTTAAATAAATAAAATAATAAAATTTATATGAAAAGTTACATATACAAATCGTGCTCTGCAACATCAGGCACGAATCGATATTCTCATTTCCTCGAGTTTTCTTTTTTTATGGGTTTTTCTTCAGTTTTCTTTCGTCACTATTAATTTATCCAACATGCTGAGCTTAACGGTTAGGACTTACTTTGCTAGATTAATTAACGTTTACGGATTTATTCGAGCTTAGCTTAGAACGCATAACGATGTAAATAGTTATTCATATATTTATAGAGCATATGTTTTAGTGCAGAAAGGTTCATTCTTTCTATTTGTTTATACAGTTACAGTTACGTTTAGTTTGAATTCGGAACGATGTTTAAATACCATTTCGTTTGTGTGCTTATGGATGAGTGTATGTGTGTGTGTGTGTGTGAGTGTGTTTGTGTGCGAGTGTGAGTGTATTTAGTACATATACAAGAGTGTTACATATGCCATAACTGATAGTTCCTAGATAATTTCAAGTCATTATTCATTCATCGATTATACTCGTTAACTAGCTAATTTACAATGGATTGCTTTATAAAATTATTAACAAAAAACGTCTAGTCGAAGAGTTCTCCTTTCCATATATGCATATGCATACATATACATAAGCCAGAGTTGCTTACCCAGAGCCTTCGAGGGGCTTGAGTCATTCGAAGTGCGTACATCCCTTGGGGCCTTTGCGAGCAGCTCTGACTTACATAAATACCAGTGTATTCGCGTAGATATAGTAGTTTAATATATTAGCATTTCTATACAATTTGTTCAATTGGTCTCCTCTCTCTCTTCCGAAATCTTCGCTTCTTCTCCAGCAGCTCACGGGAGGGGACACGAGGGTGTCCGGTTGGAGGAGGACATGGCATGGCGGCTATTTACAGTGGACTCTGCGCTCACTCTGCTCCAGGGGATTCCCCAGCCTGGCTGGGGAAAGCGGACAGAGGCTCTCAAGGTTGACGGAGGGTGGGTGTGGTGGTTTGTGGGCGTGGGCGTGGTTTGTGGGCGTGGCTGCAGCCGGATACATACGATTAAAGTCTAACGATTTACACTTAAAATTCAAATATTCAGTCCATTTTGTTTGCGTTGTGTTTAAAGCATTGACGGCTTGGAACCAAACAGCATTTGATGCTCTCTCGCTCGCTTCTCGATCTGCGATCTCCGATCTCCATCTGCACTCCGGGCTATAGAATCTCGAATCTATCGACAGCCACAGCCCACCACGGTCATCTCCTGGTAGTTCTTCAGCACCACCGTACTTTGGTCGTTGAGATAGAGCATGGCCACGCTGTCCAGTTGCGTGGGCACGCAGCAGGCCTTCGGCACCTTGCCGGGATTCAGATTGTTGACCAGCGTCTGGACCACGGCATGGTTCGTGGAGTTCAAGTGGTCGGCCAGCGGGAACGGGCACTTTCCGTGGCAGTAGAACGCATCGTAGCCCAGCGGCGCCACAATCCAATCATCCCAGCCTACATCCGAGAAGTCCACGTACAGCGAGTGCCGTCGGCACGTGTCATCGTGGTTCTTGCGTCGCCGCTGGTGTCTCCTATTTCTTCCGCCGCCGCCCTTGCCAGAGCCACCCTCGCCACCACCTCGCTCGGACACATCCCGAATGGAGCGCGCCTTGTGCCGCCCATCGTCCGTGTAGGTGAACAGGAGCGGCTGCTTGTGCTGCCAGCGTTCGTGGGCCTCGTCCGCACTGCGTCGCAGCCGCACATGATGATGCGGCGCCGGCTTCAGGGAGCGCACAGTGCGCACCTCCACCAGGAGTCCGTAGTTGCGCTTCGGCTCCGCCAGCCACCGGTCCACGGCCGGCTGGACATCTAGGCTCACCGTGTCCGTGCTGTTCAGCCGGACCGTCTTGGTGTCCAGCAGCAGGTAGCCCGGCTCCCGCTGGCCCCGGAGCCCCACCTGCGTGATGTCGTAGACGAGCACCTGGTAGCGCGTCCGATTGACTGCCGCCGCCGACGACGCCGTCCTGGCCACCACCTGCGGACTGAGCGCATCGCGGGTCAGCTGCAGCTCCGCCGCCTTCAGTTTCTCCTCGGCAGGAATGCTCTTCACGTCGAAGTGCAGGCGAAACCGATGGTGGTGCGGAAACCGATCGTCGATTTTACTATCTGCAAGGATAAATGGAAAATGCAAAGTAGGGACATGAGTTTCGATGGTCAGTAGGATATATAAATTAATAATCAATATTATACAAATAATCTGTGGGTACGCGTGAATAGCTCTCAAGAGTCAAAAACCTCCTATTAATTAAAAATAGCGCTATATCCCTCCTCGAAAGATAACTCCTAATCTGTCTACGTGAGATCCTAAAAAACGAATTGAGTTTTTTGTGCAGACAGTGCTTCCAGATGTCCATTTTATTGCTCCGCAATTGGGATCCGGCGAATTAAGCCGGACTATCCGCCAGATCAAGTGCATGAGCCTCGCTCGATCGGTGGGGTTATGGGATGAGCAGATGAGCAGGGCGTTGTCTACCTGCAGTGGTAAGTACCTACTGCTTAAGTACACTCGAGCGTGCAATACAATCCGGGACAAAGAAGGTCGAAATCGCACGTTCCAGTTGTCCAGCCAGCCGCCTTTTTACGACTGGCGCCTGCGCTAAAGACCTGGCCCACCCCGCCCTACCTTTTCGGATCTGATCTGTCTATATCTGGTCTGTGCCTAGGCCATCCCATATCCCATCCGGCAAGGTGCAAACTCTGCACGCTTGCCGAAAAATCTTAATTTGAATCGCCGCCGCCGCCACCGACGCTGCCACTCTCAAGTGCCTCACAAAGGGAAGCGACGAGTCGTAAATTCTTTTGGGAAACAGAAGAGTCCCGATGCCGATGCCGATCCCAAAAACCAGCACAGATGCGGCCCGAAAAGTGGCGAAAACTCGACTCGACTCGACAAACGCGGCTTAGACACTTGGCTTTAGACACTTGGCCGTGTGTTGGTTCAGCCGACTTGGTTACCTGCTCTAACTGCTTTATTGTTCGACCCTCTAATCCTGCCGAAAATAATGCGAAATACGCTTTAATAATAATTGTTATTTTTACAAATACAATATAAAAGCCATTTAGCGCATGCGCTAAGCGATCCTGGTGTAATTCTCAAGAAAATTTTCAAGGTCACCACCGGGACAACATTGCCGGGACAGGACAGGCAAAAGGGACACTCGTGTGTATGTCCTTTTGCCCACGCATCCTGCCGTTGCCTTCATTTTGATGTTTCATTTTGGAAAGCCGCGGAATTTCCGCGTGATTTCACAGCGCTTGCGTGAATGATACAGGTAAGGATCGAAGGATCTTCGATTTGAAGGATCGCGGGCGCAGGTATGCAAATCGCTTAGATGAAACGGAATTTCAGGGAAAATCCGAAGTGCTCTTCATTCGCATTTTGGTAGCGGAAAGTACGCATTGCGATGAGTGGAAACATACATCTACATATATATTTAGGGGGAATGCGAATCAAAGCCTTTTCCGAGCAGGTGGAAAAACCAGGTAAGTTAAGTGAATGCAAATGGATCCGAATATTTGTTGCCATCGATTTAGTGCATTTCTTAGTAGGGACAATGAGTATTCTTTATAAAATACTACATTTTACTAATTGAATTAAAAAGCCTGTACTGTCTGAATAGAAGGAAATAATATAGAACATATAATGAACAACTTATTAATATATATTGAACAGTATAAAAACTCTGTTACTAATAGTTTTTAACAAAAAAATAGTAACTTATAATCTTGACTGGAAAATTCTGGTAATTTCACTAAAAATTCCAATGAAATTGTTTACAAAATAATAAAGTTATCTACTTTCAAGACTTGATACAGTTATTGGCCATAAAGAAATATCCAATTAAGACCAATTTGCTAACAAATAATAAACTTAATATTGGCAATTATATTAAAGCAAATAATGTAACCAACAATCTAGGATTATTGCTCATTTCCTTGGCAAGATGTTGCCACTTATTATCTCCTTGAGGCTATTACATTTATTATCCTTTCTAATAACAACATGAAACTGTATATTTTATTAATTAAAGACGGTAATTAAAGGCGGTAACCACAAAGGAAAGCCAAGACCCCTATACTTTTAATTTATAAACCAATTTCTGCATTACTAAGCTAGTGGGTTAATACATTCAAATTTTAAACGCAAACTTCTTCTGCTAAATAAAAATATCTAATCAAATAATTGCACTAATTTGGCAGCTATATCCTTTGCTTAAATTACTTGAAAATTTATGGGAAATGGCGGGACTCACCTTTGTGTGTAAAACTTCGTACTGTATTGGCCGACTTGGTCAGCAGTCCCGGCTTGGGTATGTTGACCGAGCCCAGCTCGTGGCCCATGATCTCGGCGTAGAGCTTCTTCATCGGCTCCGGGATGATGATCTTGGAGCGGTCGATCTTCGGCGGCCGCTTCATGTTGAACAGCGAGAGCAGGCTGTTCTCGATCTCGACTAGAGTGGAGGGATCTGGCTTGAGCTTCTCCTTGATCAATCCCTTCTTGCTGTAGGTCGATGGCTCCTGCTCGGCAATAATAGCCTGCGCGTTGGCCGGCACGCTGATGGTGGCCATCTCCTTGTCCAGGACCAGCGTCGGCTCCAGCTCCTCCTGCTGCTGCTGTTGATGCTGCTCCTGCTTCTGCTGCTGCTGCTGCTGCTTCTCCTCCTCCACCGCGAAGATGGTCTCGATCCTCGACTGCTGAGGCTCGCTTTTGGAGGCTGGCCTGTGAGGATACTGCTCCTTCTGCTTGCGCTTCTGCTCCTTGACAGCCATTTTGTTGTTGGGTTTATTAACTAATTGTTTAGACTTATTTTTGGAATTTTCTAATTGGTCTGTTCTTGGTTTATGCACTTCGTTGAACTGTCGGTTCGCGTCACTTTTGCTTATGCTTTTGCTTTTGCTTGTGCTTTTGCTAGGTTTGCTGTTATCACTGATATCACTGCCTCTGTAGAAGGGCGGCTCGTTGAAGGGGTTAAATGCTCTCGCCAACGCGGTGCTCTCGATGGGCCGCTGGGGCGCGATGGCTGCGATGAATCTCAGGGATATGTCCTCGGTGCTAGCAACTCGAACGATCGTTTGAAAAGTCGCCAGCACTGCGAGGAGTAGAAGCCATGCGCGCATGGTCGCTTGCAACTCTGGAAAGATACAAAGGCAAAGACATGGGTTAATCGGATGCGATGGCGATGCTGTGCTCCTCGGCTCGGGCAAGGGTTATGGTTCGGCTTTTGGCTTCGGATATCTTCGGATATTCCACTCAAAGAACCGAGTGAAGAACACTCACACTCTAGCTCACTGGCCATGGGCGCAAGCGGGATGACTATAGGTGGCGGCGTGAGAGAGTCCAACTCTTTGGCTCGTTGTCTGCGTGTGTGTGTGTGTGCGTTGGACGACGTGCGCCGCTCGACTGAACGCTGGGCTCTTCCTCTTCGCCAGGTAAGAGGCAGCAGCGCAGGCGGCGGCAGCGACCGCGGCAGAGGCAGCGACTGCGACAGAGGCAGCGACTGCGACCTGCAAGCGTCGCTTCCTTTTTTCTTTCTTGGCCCATTTGAGCGAGAGAGAGCCCAAAGTTGTACGGCCCATCGGGGTGAAAGGTGCAACTAAAAAATGGTCGCTCTCTCACAAACACACACGCAAAAACACACAGGCGCTCTTTCGCTCACCTTGGCCACCCCTCTCTGTCGCTCTCGCACTCCCCCTAGCAAGTGTTGCAATTGCTGGCGGACATTGCACCTTTTTGCACTGCAACACGATCTTTTGGGCCATTTCGGCATGCCAAGTGCATCGTTTTATGTCTACGAATAGAAATTTAATCCAGTGGAGCCCTTAACCCCTCCCCGGGTGCCCCCATCCCCCAATTCTTCAGTTATTGCTCAGTTATTAGAGTAGCTTCGATCGTCATATTTTCCGCTTTATCGCCGCGCTTTGATTTACAAACAGGCGGCAAATGCACAAAAAAAAGCCCCCCGCCTTCAACTCACATATCTGGAAAATTTATGAAAATTATTAGAAGTATTCTATATATTTTGGTTATAGGCTATAAATTTCCCAGATTTTATCTCAAGATGAGCCCCGAAAATGAGAGTCCCGAACGAGGAAAAAGGTGCTGCACACACACGCACTGGAACACGGACACGGACACGCACCTAGAACAAATTACATGTTGTTTTTCACATAAAGATTAGCATCTTATCTTGTACTAAAAAATTTGTTATATGACAGGGCGCTTAGGCGCAAAGGGAATTTGTTCTTTCTTGTCGAAAATGGTTAAATTGGAATCGGGAATCGGGATTGGGATTGGGATCGGGATCGGGGGAAGATGGCACACGCTGGGGGGTGCAACAGATCTCGGGGCCCCGATAAGACCTGGCTTGGAAATTGGAAAAGAACTAGGAGACAGAGAGAGATCCGGGATCGGTGGAGGGAAAGGGTGAATGAAATTGAATTTCATAAATATGTTTATGATTTGTTCATAATTTGTTGTTTGTTTTTAATATGTTCCCAGAAATCCGTGGGTTGCGTGTGTGGTTTCAGTTTCAGTCTAGGTTCTAGGTTCTAGTCGAGCCTAATGATTTCCTCCTCTACCTGCGACGTGTGATCTGGACAAACGGGGGTTTCCCTTGGGCCATGAATGTTGGACAATCCCAGGGTTTTCCAAGCTCGCCGTCCATTCAGCGTTACCAGATACTAACATATATAATAATGTATAGTACGACTGCGTCTATAACTCGCACTCAGCTCAATTCGAGCTGTGAAATGTCGCAAGCCCCTGCTAAAGTTCAAATTTCAGCTTTGTCGCAGCGCCAACCAACGAGTCCGAAATGTTTCGCAAATTGACACATTTTTATTAACGTTTGATTCCGGTTACCCAATACCCGCACACACACTCCTATACTATACCATATAGTATATAGGGTATAGTAATCTGTGCCGCACAACGTCAGCAATTAGATTGGTTAATAATAAACGCAAACTCTAGCGGAGACCCAAAACCCTTGGATGCTCACGCACCCAGCAGATACACAATGGAAGTCTATATTCTTTTCGGTTATTTATGTGCCAGGATATTGACATTTTCGTCTTTGTGTACTGCCGCCACTGCGTTTTATGTTCCTTTTTTTAAGATTGTTTTTAGGATTGGTTCCCACTTTTCGAGAGGGTCTTCCAACCAAGATATTAGTTGTGTATCAGAACGGTACTTTATTGTGCCGTCCAACAAAGGTCGCGGGAGTTATGTTTTTCCGGGAATATGATGCACAATACAATTATGATATACGTGGGGAAATATTTTGATTAGGCATAGTCAAAGATTAAATTAGAAACAGGTGAGCACTCGAAGAGATGTTCACGCCCTTTTGGGAGGATGTAGAAATCTCACCAATTGGTTAATGTTGAATCAGGAATTTATAAAGAAGAAATAGAATAAATCGTGCACAATATATGCCTGCATTTATTTGTCTAATTATGCTTATTTCAAAAGCGTGAGAAATTATGGCTGTTAATTAAAAAAATTTTCTACTATTAACATTAATTATTATCATTAAATATATAATAAGATATTTGCAACATATATAAGTTATAAATTATGTTGCCAAAAATGTTCGCCTTTGCATAAGCTTCCAAGCTAAAGTTCATTCTCACATAAACGACCCTGAGTAAAAGAATACCCCAAGCATATCAGACATATATCCCATTACCAATTCCTATAGCCAACTTCTGCTCGGTTTTGACCAGAGAATAACTTTGAAATTTCTCAAATATCCCTGGCGAAAATGCCACATGCCATCGAACAAGGCGAACAACAACCCGGGGCGAGCATTCCAAGTATTTTTCAATATCAAATGAACTTCGGTATCGAATGCAGCAGGGCCATTGTATAATGGTTCTGTTCAGTTTTGTGTGCAGTTCTCACAGCGCGCAGCAAGTTCAAATTTTCTGACACATTTACATAAGCTTAGCGGCGACCAAAAATTTGGGAAGATCGAAATATCGGTAAAGGCAGACAGATACACCGACTCGCAGACACTCACCTCAGTCTTATAAAGTTTCCTATGGTCGAGTAGAGTGGTATCGCTTGATATTGGATCTCCGGGGGCCCGTATCTAAGTCGAGTATTGATACGACATGTGTTCAGTTATTAATTGGAAAGACGTTTGATGGATCGCCCGAAAAGCAAGCAAAATAGGAGCGACCAACTGTCTCGTCGTTCCACTGAATTTATGACGTCTGGGGATCGCAATCCGAATCGGATTCGGATTCGGGCTCGGAACGGGATCCGTTATCGCAGCCCAGTGTAGTGCTCGGTTTCGGCTTTCGCTTACACTCGGATATATACGTATTTGCACAATTTACAATTTACAGATGTTTATGGCGTTTCGCTTTTCGAATAAATCACGCTTGTGTAAATGTAAATGTAAATATCTGATAGCGGCGATTTTCCCCGCTACTGTTGTTCTCCTTCGTTTGCTTTTTCGCCTGCGGTAATAATTGTGGGCGAAGTACGGCGAGTTCTGCTCCAAAATAGTGTTGCAGCATTCGAGGCGTCGGTGCGGAATGCCGCGGCACATGACACTCCCAGCTTTCCCGGGTATCTGCAGCTGGACAGGCGGACACTCTGCTCATCCCGTCACTTCCTAGACGTTCCAGATCCGTTCGCGCGCTCGGTGCGGCAGCGAACTCGTATCTCGGGGCTTTTCCTTTCCGCTGACAATGCGAGGAGGGTTATCCACATATTTCCCTCGATTGGCACGGCACACACACTTGTTTTTCGATTTTGTATCTTTTTGAATTCACAAAAAACCATCCAGTATCTGTATTTGTATCTGTAGCTGTTTTGGGTATCTGTTTGTTGTATTTGATTCGTATTCACAGCTTTATTTGCTTTGGCGGCTGGCTGTTCGAATTTCAGGGTTTCCCTTTACAACCCGTCAGTTGACATTCCACACACACCCAGCACACCCAGCAACACACACCGCACCACACACACCGAGCACACACAATCGCGAGCGGGCCAGCTAGGCATCGATTTCTTTGTTTCCGCCGCGTCGATCTTCACCCGGTTGGGTTTGGGGGTTTGGGAATTTTATAATTGGGATGGGATATTTTGATTTAGTTTTTCACGCGCCGCAAATCTGTCAGATGCGAGTACTTTTCGCTGGCCAAAAGAATTTTCCTCGAAAGCTCTGGCTTTAAGTTACGCCAAGTGCTGCACCTTGCCGCTCATTTCGCTATAGATTTAAACTCGATCAGCGCTGTTGAACGACTAACGCCTTTCTGTCTACCTCTACCTGATTCCGATACCCAGATACTCAGATACTCGGCTCGGATACAGATACGCTCGGCTACACTCACACAGATACAGCAGCGAGCCTCGTCGATCGCTCGTTTCTCGTCTTCGTCTTCGCTCCACTACCGGAGAGCAAGCGAGAGAGTGGGAGCGTGAGAAGATCGGAACGGAAGAGAGCAGTTGAGAGTTCTCAGGAAAACAAAAAGTTTTGGGCTTTCGCCTCATCTCAGCGATCATCATTATCGGCTTCCCTATCGCCGCCCGATCATGATCACGCACCTCGTCTAGCGCCAGTTTCTCGGCCAGCCAGCGCGACGACGACAAAATCTTCCTCGTTTTTCGTCTCGCTCTCGAGTGAATTCTCCACTCACACGCACACATGCAAACATTATAAAAATTACTCAAATCTTGAGTGAGTTCCACTCGGCGATTCTCACTGGAAGGTACGTTCTAAGCTTTCGCCATGGGAATTCTCTGTTGGGTTTTTGTTTTGGGAAAACTAAGGGTTTTACGGTTAATGGTGAAATGTTAAGAAATTTGGAAATGCTACTAGACACTAGACACTATTTTATGGCTGAATATAGCCTATTTGTTAGTTTAGGAACGTGGTATTTTTGAGATCTATAGTTGAAATTGTTTAAAATAAATAAATAAATAGGTCCCCAGAAATAAAATAAAAACCTTGCAAATAAAAGAAATTAATTTTATAGAATAACTACTCTCTCTTATACATTAAAATGATATCTAAGCACACAGCACACTTAGTTGAAATTAATGGAAATCTCTTAAGTATTTCAGATAATTTACAAATTATATCTATAAGGCTCTTTAGCCATACTTTTATGTGCAATTATTTTAGTTTTGATTATTTTGTAGACTTCTTAACTTACATTTCTATATATTATTCCACAGAGATCCGATTGGAGCATTTAGGGCTCTTTGTATACACCTTTTAGCTCTCGGGAATTTCGTGTGCCGCACGAGCGCAGTGAGCCGAGTACAAAACCAAACTGTCTGCGCATTCCTGGAGCTGCTCCGCAGTCTGGGATCTCGGATCGGAACTGCCAGCCAGCCAGGCAGCCAGCAGAGATGGAGATGGAGATGATGATGAGGATGGTCATCATGCCAATCGCATCTCCCTGGATGGCACATAGGTGCAAGCGAGAGCTCCTCTCTGCCGCCCTGTCTGTGTGCGTGCGCGCTTAGCTAACGAAATCCTTGGCAACAAAACACACAAACAGAGAACGGAATCAAAAAGTCAGGAATTAGTATAATTTTATTGGTCGGAAGGCAAGAGGTAAAAAAGGGCAGCAACGGCGGCAGCCATAGGAATGACAGTCCGGCTCTCTCACTCGCACACAGATACTCCAGAAACCAATACTAGCGCACCTGCAGCTAAATGCATCTTAACTGCCTTTCGTTCTTGTTTGTTTGTTTGCTTGTTTGTGTAGATGACTCTGTAGCAAGGTGTACGCGCTATGCCTTGCCCTCAACTGGATTCTGACTCTCTGGCCTCGGCTTCGACTTGGACTTCGACACACCCGCGCAAGCGCAGCCAACATGACTCTGCCACAAAAAAAGATTGTGCCTGTTGTTAGCAGCCGAGCAGGTGCTGCGGACCAGCCAAGAAGACGACCTAGGCCTGGTAGGTGAAGCTGGGCCAACAACTACACACCAGGCCAGAAGCTTTCAGCCGAAGTAACCAGTCCCCGAGTTGTTCTCAAAGGGCTGACTGGATTCGGAGAAGACCAGGCATCGAAGAGAAATAACTTGCAGCAGAATATACACTTGGAATAATGAATTAGTTAAGCAGATTAAAGGTCCTATCCTTGTGAAAGGTTATATACTCGTATCTAGAAAGTATCTCGAAGGGCAGCGTATTGTCAGATCTTTCACGACGAAGCTCAGCTAGATAAATGTTCACTCTACATTTCCTTCTGAGAGATCACAGCATCCAGCATTCATTCAGGTCCGGTGGCGTCGGCTCCTGGTCGCGACGTCTGGTCGATAGACTGACCAAATGGAGCGTTGCCAGACATTGTGGCTTTCGTCGGACTCTCGCACAAGAGCCACACATGGCAAGCTGGCGCCAAGGCTGCTTAAGTAGCCTTTGTTCCGTTCCTGTTTCTTCACTTGTCGCCGTCTGACCGGCACTTGTGCTTCCCTACTTACTGGGATCTGACGGCGAGCATCGAATTTCCCGACAATTTCTCCGGTTCCCTAGAACCGGAACATGATGCACACGAAAAAAATAAGGTCTCTCTTTAACCGCATTAAATATTACAAGTTGGACTTGAGGAAAAATTGCTTATTAATTATTAATCAGGAATATATATTACTGATTTCAGAAGGTTTTTTTGTATGAAATATCGTAGCTATAGCTTATTTGTTCCCCAAATAGCAATCAAGAATATTGTATAATAGCCCATTTCTTAAATTAAATAGTTTATTGTGCGATTTTATTAATTGCAGATCGAGTTATTAATCTTAAGCTTTTCTTGTAGATGAACACTGTTATTCGCTTCGTCCCCAAGGGCTTAGTTCCGATTCAGTTAATTCTGGCTATGTATCCGACTCTGTGTCGTCGTTGTGGCTGCTTAGCCCCACAATGCCCCACCTCTCCGCACAGTGATTCATGCCCATTGGCGCACACAGAACTCCGCGCCACTCCACCAGCACAGATACAGATACGGATATAAACACAGCCGCAGACACAGATACAGGGCCACACGACCACAGAGGCAGTGGGAAGAAGGCGGGCTCCAAAGTTCGTGGAGATCCTTTTGTATGTTAATCGTCTGTCGCTCAGTCCCATCTTTGTATCTTTGTATCTCTGTACGTCTGTATCTCCGCCTGTGCTCTGTGTGCTATGTTCCGTTCTGGTTGTGTTGGTGTTATTCTGTGCTCCTCCTTCTTTTGCCGCTCTCGCTCTCTCGTCCATTCTCAGGCCGGGCATCCGGCAGATAAACAGATACAGATACATTTGCCTTCTGGAATGCTTGGCTTTCCACTACTCAACTTTAATGGCATTTAATTACCTTTTGCACGGGCCCGGCTTATCGCCGTATCTCGGCTGCCAGTGGACCACCAGAAATCGGGTCCTTGAGTGGCTTATCGTAGGTATTTTTGCCATCCCTGGCGCTACTTTCACTGGACCAATCCATTATCAGCTGCAGTTCATTTATCAACTGCCTCGTGTGTCATTTATAAACGACTCGGCCCGCAGCGGCAAGTGCCTGGCAAAAACATCTCGCAGCGCAAAAACTCCTTGGCACAGTTCAGTCGGGTTCAGGATGGAAGGGGATGCGTCCCCTGACCACATGCCAGCTCTTTGCGTTCGTCCTCGTCCTCGGTCACAGCAGGATCATCATGATCCCTTTTTGCATTCTGTTTTCCCTGCTACGCAACGGGGGCGTGAGTCCTAATTGTCCTCGAAGCGGATGGGAACTTCAAAGATGAGAGGGCTCGATAGCCAGGAGATTGTACTCAAGAAAGACAGCAAAAGGATATTTTATCGGACTGGAGTCTGTAACTATGTTTCAAATTAGAATTCTTGGTAAATATTTTCTTAAAGGTGGGTTATTTTTATGTTTTTCTGAAGTTAACACTTTAAAAATTAAAAATCTTTAAAGTAATAATTCAGAAATTTAAAAATTAACCCTCTAGTGCCCAAGACCGCCTCTAGACGGGCAATGTTAAAAACACCGTTATTTTATTATTTTCATTCCTTTTCACACGGTTTTCCGTTTTTTCTAATTCAGGAAAGTCCAAAAATTAAGTTCGTTGCGTTTGGAATACATACTAGAGCTAGCGCAAGCTGCTGTATTCATTTGAAGTTGAAAATTTGTGCAAATCGGACAAAATAATTATTTTGTAGGTAATGCGACATGTAAATACTTTTTTTTTAAAATTCGAAAAAAATTAGAACAAAAAATTGTACTGTGTTGCTGACAGTCTCAATGACATTTACAATAAACATTTTAACAAAAAAAATTTTTTACCTAATTTTTTGATGGCCTATCTTTCCAGAACTGCCTTCATGCGGTCCAAGGTTTTAGTCGTATAAAACTCGATCCGAGCAAAAGTAAAATTTTTTCCAAAACAAACATTCACTTTTGATACATACTGAATCCAAAAATAATTTTTTTTTTTGAAAAAAAAATTTGGGCACTAGAGGGTTAAAAGATATATAATTTCTTGACACTACCAAAGTAACTATGATTTATTGCCACATAATAATTCTTTTCTGCCAATCTGATAACGCCCAGGGTGCGCTAATAAAGATATATGTTATAGACTTTCGAGACATTCCTCCCCCAATTAGGAAACCTAATACACCCATTACCATGGACTCTAGCGTTTCAGCTGTTTGCACACAGTCCATCAGCACAACAAATGAACCTCATTAGGGATCCTTTTATAACGTGGCCAGCGATGCGCTTTGTTTCGCTGTTCCAGCCAGCTAATCAATTACCTCAAGCAGGCTTCCCTGCTACACAAAAGTCGCCAAACAATGCCGCTTGGCACGTGGACGGCCATCGAGAGCCTTTCACTGCGGCGAACCTGCCGTCGACTTGATGGAAAGGTGACAGTCGCAGTCACTTCAGAAAAACAGAAAAACCAGACGGACACAGAGACAAAAACTCGACCAAGAGGCGCAGCCGCAAAACTGCAGACAGAAGGAGCCACGGTCCGATCCGATGCGGTACTATATGTATACGATATCGCATAGTAGATACAATCGGATTCCGATTCCTACGACGGACATTGTCAATTGTTGCTCGACTGGCTCTCTTCTGGATTCTTGTTGGCTGTGTCTTTTGTTCAATTAAAACGTTATTATTGTGTGTTTTGTTTTGTGATGAATGACAAACTGGCTGTAAACTGCAACTGGGGACTCCGAGTCTAAGTTGCATCTCGTGAAAGCTGATCCTGAGCGTTTTGTAAGAAGCGGGCTTCGCTTTGGGCCCGGGCTCGGGTTTGGTCTGATCTTGTGGTAATTTGATGCTGCCGCCGGCGTCCCTTCCTTTTGTTGCCGTCGGAATCGTTTTGTTTGTTTATAAATTGGTAACAAAGCCTCCTTGGCCGGCCATTAGCCGCCATCAGGATCAGTGCCGGGACTTCGCTTGATTTATGCATTTTTGATTGTAACCCAATACCGAAGGCGGTCTATAGGGGAGCGTTTTATTAGCGCCAGTTAATAATTTCCTTGGGAAAATTGCAGGGGGTCAGCCAAAATTGAGTACAGTTTGTTTGATTGGTGAGTAAATTGAGATTGCAGTTGGAGTTTATTATGACTTGGCTGATTGATAGACGTAATAAATTCGTTATTTATATTCGCTTTAAGTGCCTTCGAAGGGTGTTAAAAATTTTACTAATACAAACTCTTGAATTAAAGCTTAAGCACCCAATGATTTCGATCTAAAAAGGTTTTCCACCTCAGGTTCCTCTTATGAAAAAACACCTTTCTACAAGATTAAATAAATAACATTTAAATATTTTGGCATTTTCGTCTCAAGAACAAAAGATTGACAATTTTCTGTGAATGGAAGATCCTTTCTCGATTGCATTGGAGTCATACGTAGCTCGTCATCGTTGTGAGGCAATCCATAGTGGAAATGGGGGAGGGAGCCACATGGCTCCCACTTCATGGAAACAGTTTGAATTCGAATTAACACAGCGGGCAGCCCGCATAGGCATTAAAAGTCAATTGCAATTAAGTTTGGTTAAGCATCTCCACGTATCTTTTTTTTTTTTTTGGTAGGGGCATGTGTGAGAATATCAAAGGCGGATGCCTGGATGGGCTCCGAGCCCTCTCGAGTGGGCCACAAATCAAATTGGCACCAGATCCCTGGGCCAGGTCCCAGATCTGGCAAGCGCCATCGATAAAACTTAATGGCCAGCATAACTGTTGTGGAGAATGGCGGCCAATTGCATCGCGCATTCAAATTTATTACTAATTGGGTGTGAATTGCAACCAAATCGGGGGAACGGCGCAAGTGCAACATGCAGCCTGCAGCATGCAGCATAATCGAAAT